CACTGAAGATAGTGTATGTTTATTTATCATTTGTGCTCGTGCCATGGCGTTAGGGCCATTCACACATTTAGTCCAAATCACGACAACATGAAAACATGACAAAATAGACCACTACTTCTAGTAACAATAATATTAAAAACAACTACTTTTCTATTATTTTCTAAACATTTTTTTCTAGCTTTAGGGGTGCAGCTATAACCTAACCTTTTTTTTTTTCTTGATAAAAATTACTGTTCAATTATTAGGATTTTTTGTCTTATTAATAAAAATGTATGAAAAAAATTTCTCTGATGCAATAAAGCCCCAGGACTGTGGACTGCTTTCTGATATTAGAGAATATATTACTGAAATATGAGGTGACTAATTAGAAACAATATTTTAGCTCTAGCCTTTTTTCTGGCTTTTTTTTTTTTGCCTTAAGTTTCTAGAGCTACATTTGTTTTATTTCATCATTTTTTAAATATAGTCTTCTGTAAAATTTTAATTTTCAAGCCCTAAACCATGGGTGCCTAAACTTTTTTTTTATCAAACTGTATTACAAAGTTGCCATGGATAACTTTCTCATTTATTTCAAAATAACTAGAAAACATTACTTTTATCATATTAACTAATGCAATATATATATATATATATATATATATATATATATATATATATATATATATATATATATATATATATATATATATATATATATATATATATTTAACATATTATAATCAACTATTATAATGGAAACCTAAGAAATTCATTTACAACACAAGGGAGTTTAATTTCGTTCTGCATCAGCCTTTTCCTTGATTTGCTTACTGATAACATCTGAATTGTGCACTATACATTGATCCATGGGCCAACTTTGCCCCGTGGGTGCTACTTTGGGCATCTCTGTCTTAAATTGTACTTATTAACTAACCAAGCACAGGCTGTTGTGTTTTAGGTAAGTATGTTGCTTGTCAATAAATGCAGATGTCATATGATATTTGTAATATCCATTTTTAAACACATGATTTATAAAAGGCTTCAGTTAAACCCAGCAATCTGTGATTGGCATAACCGATATGACCTCAAGTGAGACTTCTAATTAGAGCACCTCAATAATCCCAAATTCTTTTTATCAGTAAATTATGCCAAATAAACCATAACTAATTTTTTTGATGACACACAGCTGCTTAAATTTTGACTTCCACTTTAGGACACAATTCCATAACATTCAACAAAAATATTAGATTAAGCATATTTTCATGTTTGCTTTCTGTTGGCATGTCTAATATTTATGAATACAAGGCCTATAAAGTGAAAGTATGTGTAAACGCAGGGGTATGTATGTGCAGTAAAACACATTTTAACTGCTTTATTACTTTTGTAATAAATGTAAAAAAAAACACACAGCACAAATACTCTTTGTATGGATTTGGATCAATTAATGTCCTTATTTAAAATCATGCAGAAGAGATTACTACAAAAATAAAAAAATAAAACAAGCAAGTAGGTGAGTTCAACGGGAGACCCCCCCCCCCCCCCCTTTCATTCTCATTCACTTGGAAGTGTGTGTTAGCCCTCATAAAATATTAATGTTGGTTGTGCTCATAGCCGTAATTGCCATCTCAGCCTGTGAATAATTTATAGTGCTGTGCTGTTCACATGGGCTCATTTAATCTTGGTGTGGCTTTTACCAAGTAGGAATATGGCACAGGCAGCAATGGCCATTGTTTTGCATTTAGCAGCCAAAATCAGTTACTTCACACAAAAGCCTTTCCCTTACAATGTGATATCCAACCTCTTAAATTTGAGGAAATGCAAAACTACCAACCGTTTAACCAGTTGGTAAAGTTGCTAAAATATATCACTGGGCTGTCTTTTTAGATTCATTCATTCATTCATTCATTTATTTTCGTTCGGCCTAGTTTTAGAGGGTGCCACAGCATAATGAACCTCCAACTATTCCAGCATAGGTTTTCCACAGCGGATGCCCTTCCAGCTACAGCCCAGTACTGGGAAACACTTATACTCACTCATTTACACTCACACACACACACACACACACACACACGCACGCACGCACGCACGCACACACACACACACACACACACACACACACACACACACACACACACACACACTCACTCACTCACACACACACACACACTTTGGACTGTGGAGAAAACCGGAACACCCGGAGGAAAACTTATGTGTACAAAGGGAGAACATACAAACTCCACACGCGAAGCAGCAACCTTCTTGTGTAAGGGGACAGTGCTAACCACTGAGCAACCATGCCCCTATTTAGGGCCTACTCACACTATGCCATCCGTACCGTGCCCAGGCCTGTTTCCCGGATCGTTTGTGAAGTGTGAGTGCGCTGAATCGGGCTCAAGCACGGTTCACTTGGCCGACCCTGGCCCGGTTGGAAGAGGTGTGCCTGAGCGCGGATCACTTGGGCTTTGGCGCGGTACGCTTGTGTGTGAGTGCGAAACGTGCCTAAGCCTGAAAGCGAGACGTGACTTTTAAGGGGCTGTTTCATATGGATTTATTAATAATTCTTACTGTTCAGTGATCGCAAACTGCCGTAGTTTATTAAAGACGCAAACTCCTCACAGCATGACAGCTGCGCGCCTTCAGCAGACCTCCTCATTCCAGCAGCACGAGAGCTTTATGATTGTTTATGAGCGCCAAAAGTGGCGGATCTGTTCGGCGAAATATCTGACTGCGTGTCACCGTATCCCTAAGAACTGTTTGGCGAAATATTTGACTGCATGTCAATGCATGACAAACGACTGAAACGATATAACTAGAGAAATCTCCACTGTGCTACTGGGTGAGAGCGTATGGCAAGTAGTTTTAGCATTTAAACCTTGTTCTGACTATCCATAAATATATTTAGAGATATAATTATATTTTGACTACTCATAATTATAATTCGACTAGTCAGAATGACAATTAGAGATATCTGCAATTACAATTGTACTAGTACGAAATCAGGTTGGAGATATCTGCAAATATATTATGACTAGTCATATTCTTCCGTTGACTTCCATTGAAAAATATTTGCAGATATCTGAGTTTTGACTCGTCAAAAATCCAATTCAAGACATCTACAACTGTAATTTGACTATTAGTAAATTAATTAGAGATATCTTCAAATATATTTGTAAATATCTCTAAATATGACGAATTAAAGACATCTCCAAATGTATTATGACGAGTAAAAACTCAGTTAGAGATATCTCTAATTACAATTGTGGCTAATCAAAACTCATTTAGAGATATCTGCAAATATTTTTCAATGGAAGACAATAGAGGAATATGCCTAGTCATAATATATTTGCAGATATCTCCAATCTGATTTCGTACTAGTACAATTGTAATTGCAGATATCTCTAATTGTTATTCTGACTAGTCGAATTATAATTATGACTAGTCAAATAGAGATATCTATAAATATTTTTATGGAGTCAGAACAAAGATTTAAATGCTAAAAAGGCTTGCCATAGAGAGCGCTTCTGAACAGCGCAGCAGCGATGACATAAGCGTGCCGAGGTATGATGTGAGCGCGGGCCATCGGGGGAGACGGGAGGGGGGACAAGCGTGCTTTGGCCCGGTTCGAGGCAACTGTACCTAGTGTGAGTACGGCCTTAGATACAGTATATACAGAAAGTATTCATAGCCCTTCACTTTTCCACATTTTTTTGTTACAGCCTTATTCCAAAATTAATTTAATTTATTTATTTACTCAAAATTCTACACACAATACCCCATAATGACAATGTGAATTTTTTTTTTTTGGAAATTGTTGCAAATTTATTCAAAATAAAAAAAACTGAAAAATCACATGTACATCCGTATACACAGCCTTTGCTCAATACTTTGTTGATGCACCTTTGCAGCAATTACAGCCTCAAGGCTTTTTTGAATATGATGCCACAAGCTTGGCACAGCTGTCTTTAAGAATTTTTGCCTATTCCTCTTTGCAGGGGCTTAAAGGGGCTAATCATTTTGTCCCTAAAATGGTGTTCAAAAAATTAAAAATTGTTTTTTATTCTAGCCTAAATAAACAAATAAGACTTTTACAGAGGACGTTTTTTTTTTTTTTTTATCAGACATACTGTGAAAATTCCCTTGCTCTGTTAAACATCATTTTGAAAGCATTTTAAAAAGAAGAAAAAAATTAGAAGGGGGATTAATAGTTCTGACTTCAACTGTATATATTCATATTCTTTTTGGCTCAGTCACTTTATTAATCAAGGGTAGCCACAGCAGAATGAACTGGCAACTTATCCAGCATACGTTTTACACAGCAGACGCCCTTCCAGCCATAGTCCAACATTGAGAAACACCCATACACAATCTTTCACACACATACACAACAAGCAATTTAGTTTTTTCAATTTACTTATAGTGCATGTCTTTGGACTGGGGAAAACTGGAGCACCCGGAGAAAACCCACACAAACACAGGGCAAAACATGCACACTCCACACAGAAATGCCAACTGACCTACAGCCGGAGCTCGAACCAGCTACGCAGATATACACAGATTCAAAGAGAGCCACAGATCAACAAGGAGATTGCAAAAGACCAGCTTCTGCTTTAAACTGGACTAACTGAATATTTACCATTAAATGTCTACTATTCAAAAATATACAGACAAATGTAAAATACAGTAAAACACTCTAAATCTGTTCAAACACGTCGATCTGATGGCGATATGAGTTTGCAGCAGGATATTATTGGTAGATCGCTGACAGGAACAGTGAACAGCTCCGCCAGAGTGCGTCTGAGTCTCTCATATACAAATCTATTTTACAGTCAATGGCAGAAACACCATTGAGCCTCGCTAAATCCACCTTTATTTGTGTGCGTCTATTATAAAACACTCAAAGGACTTTACAAACACTTGCGATCATGAGGCTGTTTTTGCACTGGTAAAAAATGTTAAGAGTAAAAAAGAGTAAAAAATGTTAACTAACAAAGATGACAACAATCATTATGAATCTTTTGCAGGTTTTTCCTCAAGTTTTTCCTGAAATGCAATCAGAACTGTCTGAAGAATGCAGGAAATCCACGAGACATGCGCCGCTTTCAGGTAAACTATTTATATTCTAAAATGTTCTATTTTCAGGTATCTTGGCCTGTGTTTGTCTGGTTATTTCTCTCTCTCTCTCTCTCTCTCTCTCTCTCTCTCTTTCTCTCTCTCTCACTCTCTATCAAATTCAAATTTAAAATCCTTAATTAATCAATAAAACAATAATTAACAGTATATTTAACAATCAACTTTTTAATATAAAAAAATAATAATACATTTTAATTAACAGTATATTTAGCAATCAATATTTTTTGATTAATTTATAACACTTTAAAATTATTGTGTGTGTGTGTGTGTGTGCTTGTTTTTGTGACATATCAGGACACAAATCTGTATAATGACATGGGTATGACACAGGTATTACAAAAAAAGGTGAAACATGAGGACATTGGTAACGTCCTCATTTCTCAAAAAGCTAATAAATCACACAGGATGAGTTTAATCAGAGAGTAAAGCTGGACACTGACTCCTGTGATGGTTGGGGTTAGAGGTAGGGTGGGGTGAGGGCAATACAATATATGGTTTGGACAGTATAAAATGAATGGAAACCTATGTAATGTCCCCACTTTTCACAAAAAACAAACATGTGTGTGCATACTCGTGTGTGGTGTTTGCAAGTTTATCACTGATGATTTTATTGATATCCTCTCTCTTTCTGTGACAGGCATCGATGTGTTATGCCGCTAGTAAGATACAATCAGCTTTATCAACTAATACATATTAAAATTGTGTTTTATGGTCTAACTTAGTGAATTCAGAATAAATGAGCTGGAATTTGGGTAGAAAGTTTCTCTGATGAGCTGATAGTTTGTGCAGTGGGTGAGGAAGTGCCTCTTCTTGGGCACAGTGTAAGCAGATGTGGTTCTCTCTGAGTTGCCAATTCTGTCTCTATTGGCCCTTCAGTCAGACTGTAGTTATTCAGTTTGTATATCGTAATTTTCCTGATGATGTCTGTTAAATTCAATTTAATTGATCATTATTTCTATAGTTTGTCAAAGCAGCTTAAAGGGCCATGAAACCCCCTCGTTTCAGCAGGGTGTTTTCACACCTCTACTTTGGAAAAAGTCAGAAAAGTGGGCGTGTCCAGCTCTGTTTAGGGGGGAGTGTCAGAGGAATAAAAGTGGGATGGTGTGGGAGTGTCTATTTGGGCACGCGCGAGTTTCAGAGTCAAAATACACACACACACACACACACACACACACACACACACACACACACACACAGTAGAAAGTGTTGGTGTTTAACCTACATGGACATCTGTAGTCGAATTATTTGCCAAATCATTAAATGGTGGACTTTAACTGCAGTTTGGCTCTTTCATTCAGAGAATTCATTCATGCCCCTCGCGACAAACGAGATATTTGATTCGAGGAACTGCTCTAAGCGTGTATTTTTCATGCAATGTTTGATACCGCATGGCGAATGAGAGAAAAAAAACCTCTGCATTTCCCGGAAACTTAGATGCACACAGCAGGTGGCGTCAGAAAGCCGCGTATGTTATTCCGGTCACTAAATGTGGTGAAAACCCTACACGAGGTTAAAGTTTGGTTGTGGTGCTAACATGTTTACACTCGGTGCAATGGCTAACTTAGTTCGATACGAACAAACTGAATAAACAAAGAGCACTGGTCGCTCACTTAACAAATCTGTAGAGACAGGACAATCACCAGCAACTAGAGCCGCGTCTTTATGAAGAGAATACTACAAGCGAATCCGGATCTCAGCGTTTGCAGATGAGAACAGCTCTCAGGTAAACAATGTTCCTCCTTAGACACGTAAGTTTTTGTTGTCGAGCGTCGCGTACACTGTTAATCCACACTAGAGTCTGAGCTCTCACAGAGAGAAAATGAAAACGAAACTTAACTGCAGCAAACTATAAAAGCAACACTTCACGCTTGTTTTGCCAACACAACGTGGTGTGAGTGTCGTCTAAACACTGTGACAGTAATGAATATTAATGAAGTTGCACAATAGAGCGCGCTGAATGGTTTGAACCAAGCCTTACTCATGCATTAATGCAACACACTGTAAGACATAATAAGACACACTCTGGCACAGACGCCCAGTCTGCACGCTGGAATACAACGCTATTATGTCATGATCGTGACACAGCTTCAAAAATTCGTTTCAAACCGGAAGTACGAATTTGCTTGAAATAACGCAAAAACAACCAATTTACACTTTTTAGAGAAATATAGGCGTCCTAATAGTGTTTTTAGCAGTGTGGGACACATATACGACTGTCAACAGCTCAAAAAATGTGTTTTGGTGTTTCGTGACCCTTTAACATACACTGGATAAGTACTAGCAGGAACTGGTTTGATGGCTTTAATGGCCCAGGTAGTTTGCACCTTCATTTCAGACACAGTGAGTCTAGGGGAACAATAGGCATTGGTGATTAAATCTGCCTGTTAACTAAAGGCCTGTTGATTGTGAATCGTCTACCCTCCACCTCTGGTAGTCCTGCTTACAAAAAACACATTGGTGGTCGTTGAAGGTTCTTTGCACATCAATGTCTTGGCTCCATAAGACAAAAGCTTCCTGTTGTGGCATGTGGCCTTTGGGTGACCATGTCTGTGATTCACAACAGAAGTAATAATTTTATACTTATAAAATATTTTTTAACTATTTAGTTTTTAACTATTCTATAGTAAATATTATTATACTGCATATATTATAGTATTTACAACCTTTTTAACGAATGCAACAACATACTGTAGAATCAGCTATCATGAACTTAAAAAAATTACAATGTAGTAAGAGCAACTATGAGAGAGACACCCTCCATTGCATGGGTGAGAGTCCACACTGAGCATCTCATCCGCAGGGTGAAGGAACAAACTGGACAGTCATCATGTCTTTCTATTACAGCGAGCATCAACCAGATTTACACAATGACTTGCCTTCTGCCCATTAGTAAAAGCTTGAGCAAATGATTAAGAAGTAGATGATGAACCTAGATTTATTCATGTAAAAATATATATATAAACCCTTTGTCCAGCAAATAGAAGACATCGTATTTTACCAATCATGTTAACATTATTCCCGTGGCCAATGATAATAACATAACATAGTATTAGGTTAAATTTTAGCAAGGCAATGAAATCTACAGCTTGAGGCAATGACTTGGAAGCACACAAACACAAGCACAGTTCTTGTAAAATGATAACAAAGATTTATTGAACTGCACTACATGAAACTACGTAATTAGCAAACAACAAACAACTGCTCACACACATTTACACACACACACAAAGGCAGTTTAGAGGATGCAAAATGAGTTAACAACTGTCCCAAAAATAATTCTAGTACTTCTTACTAGATCTTACTAAAATCACACCTGAGAAACCACAAAAGCAGAGATTTGGCTCACTGCAAGAGACAACATTTGCTTGTGTTACTTGTGCTTTTGCTGGCAGTCTTGAGTTTCCCTAGCTGAGCTTGCCTCGGGGAAGCACAGTGCTCCTGACTGGTTGTTGACTCCCTTCAGTAACATCTATGGGATTCACTGCAGCACGGTGTACAATCAGGACGAAAGGGGGCAGAGAGCATGGCTAGCGCGAGCAAGCTAATACAAAACGGCACATTTTACTGTTGCAGTATGTTTTATATATTTTTTCTATCTATCTATCTATCTATCTATCTATCTATCTATCTATCTATCTATCTATCTATCTATCTATCTATCTATCTATCTATCTATCTATCTATCTATCTATCTATCTATCTATCTATCTATCTATCTAATATATATATATATATATATATATATATATATATATATATATATATATATATATATATATATATATATATATATATATATATATATATATATATATATATACATACATATAAAAGACATTATTTATTTTATATATATATACGACATAAATATAAAAAAAAAAAAGTTTTTGTACCTCCTCAGATGTGGGGGCCTTGGGTGGATCCCAGCTTTGTTATAATCTGTTTTTGACAATTTACATTTGCTTAGTGTTGTTATTATTCTTATTATTTATCATATGCATAATTGGGTCTTACAGACATATTCATCAACCTATAGGGATATAGTAAAAGGAAGTGAGTTTGGATATATCTGTTTTTGACCACACTTTCTTGTTATTGTTTATTTATTAGTTTTCTGCGAAATAGAACTGAATTTAAAAATAGTTTTGACTTTTTCAGTTTAGAAATAGTTTTTGAGTTTTTTTAACTAATACCCAATTTGTCTGGTTGCCTCCTGCTCACTCATTCTTAAAGTGTAGTTAATTTAGTAATTTCCATACAACTTGCTATTGTCAGTGATTCAACTAATTAAAAGGTGTTTGTGCTGCTGTACCTCCAGCTCTGTACAGTCAAATTAATCTTAAAATCTATAAGATCATGTCACAGTAAAGAGGTAGCAAATACTCCACATAATCTATTGAATGATTTCAGGAGAAGTCAGATTGAATCAAAACTTGACATTTTATTTTCCGGAAAAAAAAAATAGTGTTTCATGCCACTACCGAATCAAACAATAAAAGCCAATTCAAGAATGAATGCACAACATCAATTACTCATAGAGAAATCAAGGAATATAGATTATTTTTCCAAATTTTACATAGTGTTCAGTGTGAGAGCTCTGCAATACCGACCAATCTGGATACAGACTCGCTCTCTTAGACATTTTGTCCTTCTCTTTAACTACCCAAGGAAAGCAATGAATGGTTCTTTTGTTTAAGTTAACTTTAAGATTTACTCATCTCTTTAGTAAGAAAAAAAAGCTATTAATGATAGGAATTACTACCCTCTAATCAGACCCACCTGAATATGAATATCAATATCAGATGGGAAGGAAAGTTCAGGGAAGAGGGCAAGAATGTGTCAAAGTCTATTCTGGGCATTTTCTCACTTGTCCTATTCTTTGGATTTCAAAGTTTTAGTTGTTTTATCTCAGAGCATGTTTAGGTCTAAATTAAATTCACCCTTACACTTTCTTGCCATTGTCTCAATCTGCACATTAATTTAATGAATCTGAGCCAACCTCTATCACCAATTAATTGAAGAGTTGGACATCGTGAATAGACAGAATGGTGTGTTTGTGTGCTGTTTTAATTATTGTCCATCACTGAAATGATTAGTGATTTAATCGAGGTACCACTGATGCAGCACTTTCAACTAATTCCAGTAGAGGCACATAAATTACATATTTCACTTCAAATTTACACTACATTTAAGTAATGTGCTCTTCCTTTTACAGGTGGTTGTGTCAACGACAGTGAGTGTAGAAGGACACGTTTTGGCTGTTTCAGACAACATGTTTGTGCACAACAACTCCAAACATGGCAGACGAGCTCGACGACTGGACCCATCAGAAGGAACGCCATCATATTTGGAGCATGGTGAGTTATTTGGATTTAACACCAACAGTTTAGCTGAAAAAATGTGTAGACTTTTGTTTCTGATTAATTATTTGTTGACTAGATTCATTTTAATTAGTTTGAACAATTGCATTTTTACCAGTTCATCCTAAATGATTTGCAATATAACTAAATTATAAATAACATAAAATTGCAAGATGAGATAGGCTTGTGTGTGAACAAAACCTTCACAGATTACATAGTCACATTTTAAGCTGTCCTGAAATATTCAGTAATCCACTGACAATAACCACACACATGACTAAATTGTCTTAAAAGCATGCTGATAAAAATGTTAACCTTCGTCTAGTATATGTGAATGAGTTGGTAAAAGATAAAGAGAGCAATAAAGCTTTGCTGTCAGATTAGTCTGTGAGCTTTGGCCCTTCAAGTCACATTTTCAGTGGTGCGGAGAGAGTAAAAGATGAAGCAGAGATTAATTAAAAGCACCAACCTGTGCCCTCCCTCTTTCCTTTAACCCATCCCAGCTTCCAGAGAAAGGAAGAAAAAAGTAAAACGGATAAAAAATGAGAGTCAATTAAATCCAAATGTGGGCCAACACAATTGAATACTTGAACAGAGTTTGAATAAAGTATGATACCACAATAAGCAAAATAAAAGAAAAAGAAGAAGAAGAAGAAAAAGAAAAAAGAGATAAAGAAAACTAGGAGAAAAGGTAGAACAAACATATATTTCATTAAGTATATTGAATAAGGACTTGTACAAAGCATTACTAATGACAGGAATAACAGGAATTACAATTCAGTGGTTTTGAAGTCCAGCCTTAGCGACCCAGTGCTCTGTACATCTTGATTCAGATCAACTTGTTAGCAGAGAACTTCAAGAACTAAACTGTTTGTGGTAGATGTGAGAGATATACAAACAAAAAGTGATAACTTTCCATGTAGTAGTAAATATTTGTTACCTGTATGCAAACCTCTGTATTTTCTATTTCATGTGTGAGACCTTTTACATTTTAAATTAGTCTTGTGTGCGTGATAGTGTTTGTGGCATGTGTTAGAGCAGCATGGTGAACAGATGGCTTAGAGAAAAGCACAGAAAGTTTAATCCTATCAGATGGATCCATGCATCTCCATCTGCTTAATCCAGCTACCATTTCAGTATTCGCCAAAAACCTCCTCTCATGCAAAGATTACTGCCACAGATTCCACCTCATTTTCCCTATACTTTACCACCACATCAATAACCAAAGTATCTGTATTATTGTGTCTATACCCTGCAGGTCTGGGTGTATTTTATTTCTATCATCTCACAAGGAAATAACAGAAAATTCACTAGGTTTACTGAACACAAGACATTTTATTTTTATAGAACTATAAAGCTGCTTGCGATTGGGTTTTAGTAATGTTTTTTAAAATTAAAAAAGGGGAAAACATAAATATTAGCCACAGATTAAACTTCTGAATTTTGAACTTTTCAATAAAATTGCTTATTGAAACCCAATAATGACAATTTCAAAGATGTGCCAGTGACGAATAGATTTTTTATAAAATATTGATTCATTAATTAGGTAATTATTTATAGTATGTTTATAAATTGGTAATGACTTTTTTTTTACAATAATTAAATCATTTTAACAGCGTTTTGCAGAATTGTTTGTGAATCAAATGCAGAATGTTGTCTGATAATAATTGATTAATACAATTTTATACACAATGAGCTGTTTTCGTCTTTGATATTTAACTTTAAAAAAAAAAAAAAACTATTTTACAGCTTCCCCATCATCAGTTTCCCTGGAAGAGACATGCTTACCCATCCCAACCTTTGCTTTCCCTATATCTCAAATCTAATATTTGATTTTTAGGGGCAAAATGCTGGTAAACGGTTGCTAGCTAAATTGTTTTCTTTGCCTGCCTGCTAGCACAAGACTCTGAACACAGAGGGGAGCAAACAGCTCCAATAAGCAAACTGACCTTTCTCCATGGTGGTCGCTTTTTTACTGTGCTGCTTGATCCATGACTGCCGCAGAGAGCAACAAATAGAACTCACTAAACGAGCTAGTCTACCTTGCTATCCATTGACAAAAACATGTGTCATCTAAGAGAAGGAGGCCTATGGTCATCTTATTTACACAATGATTGCACAGCTCACGTTAAAAATAAATTTAAATTTATGATAAAATTTTATGATAATTTTTGTGTGCAATGCGGCGGCACAGTTGGTAGTGTTGTCGCCTTACAGCAAGAAGGTCGATGGTTTGAGCCTCGGCTGGGTCAGTTGTCATTTCTGTTTGGAGTTTGCATGTTCTCCCCGCATTTGCATGGGTTTCCTCCAGGTGCTCCAGTTAACTGGACAAGTCCAAAACATGTGGTACAGGTTTCAATAGTTTCTCAGTATTAAAAAAAATATTTAAAAAAAACCCCTCAGAATCTAGATTACAAAAATTTACTTGGCCAAATTTTGTCTCATCCTAACAATCCATATATAGAAAACTTATTTATTCAGCTTTTACATTTTTTTCAAAATTTACACATCACACACATGCATGCATGCCAGGTGCAAGACTAGAAATTTAAAAATGTTTGGAGCTTGGTGAAATAGAGTGGACCTCAGTGCCTACTCTTAAACCAAGTGTATATAATAACTAGTTTCTTATATTTATGGTCCCTGGCAGTTGTTTAAACAAGGTGTGAGCTGACATGTTTGAGTATCCAAACCAATATTAAAAATATTCTTGACCAGCAAATTACATTTTTTGAGACTGTAGCCTCAGTCAATCAATTAGGGTCAAAAACAAAACCGCTCATCAGCGTAAAGTACAGAGCAACAGTTGAGTAGATATATCTTGTGCAATGGAGGGGGACTTTAAAATTTGAATGACAGAAATACAATGACTAAAGAGGTGATGTAAATAGGCAACATCAAACTACATGCATATTCTGCCTTACATCCACTAATATATTTTTTGGTGCTTGGTCTCTTTAGTGTATTTTTTTCCGGTGTATGGAACGTGTTATGAGTTTTGCAAAAACCCCTACTAACACTCTTTCAAAGCATGTGGTATTTAGTTGGCTGTTTTTGGTTTCATGCTCTGGACTTGAAAATAAGTATGTCAATTTCCACAAATTCTTATGACTGACCATCATTTAATTAACAGTCAATACACTGAATAATTGTCAGCCTGGAAACAATTTAGAGTAAAGGTATGTTGTTAATAAATACTGTGACGCGGTGGAGCAGTGGGTAGTACATTCGCCGCACAGCAAGAAGGTCACTGGTTTGAGCCTTGACTGGGTCAGTTTAAATTTCTGTGTGGAGTTTGCATGATGTCCCTGTGTCCATGTGGGTTTTCTCCAGGTCCTTCGGTTTCTTTTCAAAGACATCCCTATAGGTGAATTAAATAAGCTAAACTGGCCGTAGTGCATGTGTGTGAAATAAAAGCCATTTCTAAAATATAAATGTCAGGTGTTGTTTAGGACAAAAATTCATTTTAATATGGAAAATATTCCTTCTATCACGTGCCGCTACTTTTTTATTTATTTAGAACATGATTTAAATCAGGCATGCTGCTGTTGGTGTCATCAATTTGACAACCTGCTCTTGCGTGTGTTTTGAACCTGGAGTGCAACACCTAGTTTATCCACTGAGTGTCAAACTCACATATTGCACCTTTAAATAACCGATTCTTTGTGGTCCTACTTGTAATATTGCTGTAGTATGTACTAATGATGTTTCCTGTCTGTGCAAAAAGGGTGTTGATGCAAATCTATATCTTGACAGGTGTTGTAATGTTCAGACAGAATATTTTGTTTAGACAAAGCTTTGCTTTTTACATACAGAATACATACAAATATATTTAGGCAACTTATCTTAATGAGTAGTTTTACGTTACAAAGAGATCTTCAACCAGCATAGCAGAAATAGTTTTTGTACTAAATCGTATACCATGTTTTTAAGTTAAGCTCAGACAATAGGCAGCTATATGTACTCATCATTAAAGTCATTTTTCATATTTCTTGTTCTTTTAATTGGTCCTGTCCTGTTTCTGGAAGCAGCTGCACCTTGTATCAAAGCCATTAGTCCCAGTGAAGGCTGGACAACAGGAGGTGCTACTGTCATCATCATTGGAGACAACTTCTTTGATGGATTGCAAGTCATCTTTGGAAGCATGTTGGTCTGGAGCGAGGTGAGCTTTTAAGCCATTCATACACACATTTCTCTTTTAAAGAACCTTGCGTTTTGATACTGTCCCTCCATTGTGATCCAATTAATTCAAGTTTACAAGTTTATTTGTATATTAAAATGTAAATGTTAACAAATAGTATCTTTAGTAACTTGTATACACATATTTTGCACTGAACATTAAATTTACATAATTATATAGTTTTTTTGCCAAGTTCAAAACTGTTAACACAATCCAATAGTATCTGGATGCAGACTTTCATATGCAAGCTAAGACATGCAATCTCAAACAGCATGCACTGAATGGAGCTTGTGACGTCACTGTTAGAAGTAGTTAAGCAAAATTATATCTTGGATGAAAACTATATTATTCTGAGACAATAATAAACAAACTAGACAAAGCTTATTTGTACATACAGTTAAAGCCAGAATTATTAGCCCCCTGTATATTTTTTTCACAATTTCTATTAAACGGAGAGGAGATTTTTTTGTTTTTTTGTACACGTTTTTAAACATAATAGTTTTAATAACTAAGTTCTAATGACTGATTTCTTTTATCTTTACCATGATGACAGTAAATATGATTTTAATAGATATTTTTCAAGACAATTCTATACAGCTTAAAGTGACATTTAAAGGCTTAATTAGGTTAATTAGGTTAACTAGGCATGTTAGTGTAGGGGTAATTTACAGTAATTAGGCAAGTTATTGTATAATGATGTTCTGTAGACAGTTGAAAAAATTGCTTAAAGGGGCTAATAATTTTGACCTTAAAATGATTCATAAAAAAATAAAAACTGCTTTCATTCTAGTCGAATTAAAACAAGTAAGACTGTCTCCAGAAGAAAATATATTATCAGACATACTGTGAAAATTTCCTTGCTCTATTAAACATCATTTGGGAAATATATTAAAAAATATATTTTTTATATAAATAAAATTTATATTTGCTATTTTGAGAACTAAAATAGACTGTGCAATAGACCAGCTGAATGCAGGTCTAAAGTACAGCACAGAGCATGTTAGTTATGCGCATCACTTACACATTGCTTCAAACACGCAGAATGTACAGCAATAAGCAAATATCTTTACAAATAAAAAATAATTAAAGGATTAATATATTACAAAAATAAAAACCACTGCCTCCATGCCTTCTTTATCTCGGGTGGCTTTTTTGGGGCACTTACATGGAAGAATTGGGCCGTTCAAATAGCCCATGGGCATCTCCCTTGCACCTAATGTCTAAGTCAGATGGCAGTTACTGTCCATGTGGCAATTATTGCAGACTAAATTATGTCACAATTCCCGATCGTTACCCTGTACCGCATGTGCAAGATTTTGCAGACTTTCTAGGGCGCAGGATTCCCAGCGAAGGCGTGTGCCCGTGGCAATCAAGGGTGGCTGCGGTTACATAATTTACATTGGAGCATACGATTAAAGCTCTCCAGGAATTCCTAGGAATGGTCAATTTCTACCACAGGTAGTTGGGGGTCAATTACTCTAGCTTGGCTGACCCAGATGTCCTGCTTTACAGAGAGGGACCACATGCCTCAAATTGGTCGATGTTGCATTTGAGGAGGCTGGTGTGTCTCTTTTGTGCAATGTTTTAATGGGACATCTTCGTCCTATTGTCCCCAGGCATATTTTTGACATTCTTCATGATTTGTCTCACCCAGGCACTAAAGCCTCCCAATGATTGTTGGCTTCAAAGTTTGTCTGGCCAGGCCTTAAAAAAGATGTGCGAAATTGGTCTGTTTCATGCATTGCTTGTCAAAAAGCAAAAGTGCAGCATCATGTTTATGCACCATTGGCGTGTTTTGAGGTGCCGGAGCGTCGTTTTGACCATGTAAAAATTGATCTTGTTGGTCCTCTTCCTCTATCTTGGGTGTACGCTCACCTGCTTACGATGGTTGACCGGACAACTAGGTGGCCAAAAGGTGGCCAAAAAGTCTAAGACTTTGATTTTTATGTAAGACAAAGCTCCATCACATGAGTCAAATTACTCCGTGGCTGTCCAGTAAAAGCCTTAAAGATGAAAAACTAATGACATGGCCCCTAAACCCTTTTGAAAACTTTTGGGCTCTTCTTAAGAAGGCAATTTACAGTAAAGGAAAACTGTACACCACTTTAAACAGTGTCTGTGAGGCTGTGGTTGCAGCTAAACAAAAAATTGATTCTGACCAGATCAAGAAACTGACTGACCCAGTGAATGGAAGGCTTGTGACTGTTGTTGAAAAGAAAGCTGGCTATATTGGTCACACACAGATATATATATATAAATATTTTTTTTTATTAATTTTTTTAAACATATATTTTTTTGTAAATGTTAGCTTGTTTTTTATTATTATTATTATTATCTCACTTAACAAGTGAGATGGAAAAATCTTTGTTTTTCATTTAGTTATAATTCTGCACATTAATAATTGATATTTCTGCACACTAATACTTGTCTAATAATGGTGTACATGCAGATATTCTGTTAGGAAAGCCAAAACATCACTTTTACTACTTAAATGTTCAGGCTTGAGGGTTTCTTAACATTTTGGATTGACCAAGAGCACTGTGGTTGTGCAATAATAAAATTACCCCCTAAAAATACAACGTGCCTAATAATTTGTTCACTTGCATACATATTCAACAATATGTAATTAAAAATCTGTTTAAAATATATACAAAAAAAAAGAGTTTTTACAAAAAAAGAAGAAGGTATTGATTCACCATTTAAGCCTGGAAATCTAGTTGCTTTTAATGTATTAATCCAAATCCAAATCTCTCTCTGTTGTAATATTTTTAACCCCTCTCCTCTTCTGGTAGACCTATGGATATCCTCTATACCAACTATTTTCAGTGTACTGCTATTGCCATGATCTCAAATTTTTTATAATGTAAAGCCATTGGATATTGTGAATTACATGTATCAAATTTTTATGCTAAGCTAATGTCAATTTTAATTTTCTCTTAGTCATTTCTTTATAAAAGCAACCACACAGACATTCTAATCAATATACCACAAGTGTAGTATACCTGTTGCTTGTTTTTTTAGAAAAGATTTGTTTTTGGATGTTTTGTAAATATTGGATCTTATTTTCTAATTGTATAAATTGGCGCGTTCTTGCTTTGGCTAGAGCAGACGAAAAGTTGATGTAGTTTACCTTAAATTCTTGACCTTGAGAGCTGTTTCATAAAAGTAGTTTAGAAAAGTGGGGATAAAGTCAAAACGTGACTTCAATGAGCCAAATTAAATGTCCACACTTAAATTGAACATGAATTGACAAAACAGAATTTACATGAGACCACAGGTCGACAACAATTGGACATTCCCAAAACATATGAAGAAAATTACCTAAAGATACAGTGTTACAGATATGACAGTTGTAGTTAGACTGCAGTTTCATTTTGAATCTCTTATAAGGAGTTATGTATGCTTTATGTATAACTTTGAAATGTATAAGACAAAGAGCTAAGTTTTTAGAAGTTAAGATTAGGTTAGACCACACCCTGTCCCAGTCAATCGATAAGTCCAAATCTCTTAGTCCACGATTCCAGATAAGTTTAATAGAAAGAGGCTTTGCAGTGTGATCATTAAGTTTGCTATATACAACAGAAACACACACACACACACTGCATATATATATATATATATATATATGCAGGCAGGCAGGCAGGCAGCCAGATAGATAGATAGATAGATAGATAGATAGATAGATAGATAGATAGATAGATAGATAGATAGATAGATAGATAGATAGATAGATAGATAGATAGATAGATAGATAGATAGATAGATAGATAGATAGATAGATAGATAGATAGATAGATAGATAGATAGATAGATAGATAGATAGATAGATTTTCCCAGTTAAAACTAATGCTTCAGGTGAGTGGTCAATCAGTAAGTGTCTCAATCATAGAAATGTAATGTTCACCAAAACACTGCAGAGCTGCCCACATATAGTTACACTCCAGCCTATCAAAGGCTTTTTCTGCATCTAATGAATAAACTGCACACGGGCTCAGAAGAGAGTCTGAAAAATCAAGTACATGATACAGTTGCTGCATATTATCAGCCACATGACGTCCCTTAATAAAACAAGTTTGGTCCTCTTTGATTAAGCTGTTAATTACCTTCTCCATGCGAAAGGCAAGAGTTTTAGCATAAACTTTTAGATTGCATGGGATACGTGATACTGGTCTATAGCTGCAACAATCTAACCAATCTTTACCCTTTTTAAGAAGCAATAAAATCAATTATATTTTTTGGTCTCTATGAAATGTACCATATTTAATTGCTAAATTTAATGAATCAAGCATGAGAGTCTCTACCATATACCATATCTCCACTTTATTTTTGCTTTTTTAGAAAAGCTTTGTTTTTGTACATTTTGTAAATATTGGATCTTATTTTCTAATTGTGTAAATTGGCGCGTTCTTGCTTTGGCTAGAGCAGACGAAAAAGATATACAAAATCCTCATACTATACACTTAGTGGTTTCATGGAGTATTTGAGGATATACCTCACAAGATACATTCCTTTCGAGAGAAAAAGTGAAGCCCTTAGATGTAGTATTTTGAATTCTCCAAAGATCAATCACATTAAGGTCAGTGATAAATTTATTCAATAACTTAAAGGATGCATTAGCTGTAGTATCAGGATGAGATTTATCCAGTGCAGGGTTTAAAACAGCATTAAAATCACCACCCATCACTAAAAGACAATCAATCTGCTTTTTTTACACATTATTACTGCTTATTATTAAGTATTATATATGAAATATTTATGAAAAATGTACTGTTTGCTTCATTCGGAACATAGATGGAGACCAGTACTTATTTGTCATTATGTATTTTGCAGCGTATAAAGACAAATCTACCTTCCTCATCATTCCCAGTATGTTTAATAGTTCAACTTCCTATGAACTAAGATAAGCACCCGCTTAGTTTTATTACGATCACAAGAGTTGGATGCCAGTTTGTAAAAGTTATTTTGAAAATGTGCCACATTGCATTGTTTTAAATAAGATTCTTGTATCGGCACAAGAGATTGATTTAAGGTGCAAATATTCTAATAACCAGGTGCGCTTAAGAGGAGAATTTAGGCAATTCACATTCAGTGATAAAATATTCAGAGCATAAATTGTAAGCTTGAAATACCACGAGTCTGCCTACCTGAAGAAAAACAAAAAAACTGACTTATTTCTAGTGACTTGTAAACATTAGTATGTATCCTAGATACCAACACATCTAAATGCATAATTCTTTTAAAATAAAAGCTAGATAAATAAAAGTATTGAAGTTTGTTGTAGGACATAGAAAAAAAGAAAAGAACAACAAACAACTGTAAACAACCAAAACAGGCCGCACATTACCGAGAGTGTAGGTCTGTGTTGTTGATGCGTGACCAGTCCACTTCAATGCAAGACATGTCCCCAAAAGGCCCACTAAGCCAGAAACATAATGGTTGACCCAGCTCTCCATTCGCCTGAAAATAATAAAAAAATCTAATAAAAATGAGATAAAAACATTACTATTTACCAGTCCGCAGATGAGCGTGCAGGGCTGGAGCAAGATCACAAAAAGAAATTAACAAGTGTCCATAGGCATCTTGTTATCGTCCTTTTTAGTGCAGTTATGATGATTGCCACCGACCTTGTATTTCATTTTCTCTCGTTGAGCTGCGGAGATGGAGACAGTAGCTGTTGCCTTCTTTTTGCTTTGTAGCATTGCAGAGTAGGTCTTCAGTTGCAGTGAAGTAACAAAATCCTCTGCCTTCTGAGGAGAGTCAAACATCATATGTTCACGTTTGTGGCGTAGCTGGGATAGGTGAGGAAGGGCTGGAGACCAAGTGCTGTCATCTTCTTCAAGATTGGATTAAAGCTCTTTCTCTTGGTCATGGCCGAACTGAAGTCAGGAAAAATAGTAGCGTGACATTGTCCTTTGTATGTTTCACCGGATACATACCTTTTAGGTATATCAAAATATTTTTCAGTGTCGGCTGAGCTACTGCCCGAGGCTTTTTCCACATATTATTCTTATTTTTATAGACCTTCCTTTTTTCGTCTTTTTAAAATATCCTTTGTCATTTTGTCGTTACAGCTCATCACACCTCATGCAATCAGAGTTCAGACCCCTCCTCGCCACATTCCTGGGGTGGTAGAGGTCACACTCTCCTATAAGTCCAAACAGTTTTGCAAGGGCACACCAGGAAGATTCATCTACACAGGTAAGCCTTTTCAGATCAAGAGAGATAAAGTTTTTGACTCATTTCAAGCGTATTACTACATAAAGCATGTAGCTCAGAGGAGATGTATAAATCTGCATCAGAGAATGGACCTCCTTCAAATTCAACCCAGGCTCATTGTGGAAACATAGCCCTGCAGACGTTTCTGCGGACCCCGAAATACGTCCCGGGAGGTACGTATTCGAGCAGTTTTTGTTTTCGCGGATCCGCGAGAGGCCGCTGTGCGCACTTTTTTGCGTCTCAAGCGCCTCTCGGAAGCGTGCACCGTACGCGCCCACGCTGTTCTCACGCGAAAAGTCGCCGGAGGCCGCTGTGGAGCGACCATCCGTCCGACTGGCTGGCTGAACGCCTGAACGATCGACCGGGCGGCCTCCTCTTCCTCCTCCTCCTTCCCTAAACACAAGCAACGGTATGCAAAAGCCTTCCAGAAAAAAAAAAAGCAAAAGCCCTCGTCTTTGATTTCGCCCGCAGTTTCGGATCCCGCCACATTCTCGCCCTTATTTTTTGAATTATGTTTTTCATCTTACCTGATTTCTGGAACCGCTCTTCCCCGGACCCGATCTCGGTCGTCCCCGCGGCTGGCTCCTCATCCTCCGGGCCTCCGCTCCGCCGACGTAACGCTGCGAGCTAAGCGGGCGAACTGGTAGCAGCGGAAAAGCCCTCTACTCAGAAGCGTACCTCCGGCCACGTAAATCGCGGTCTCCAGAAACGTCTGCAGGGCTACATTTCCAGAATGAGCTTGGGTTGCTCAAATTGCATTGTCCTGAAAACAAATCTAATTTAAATATAACTGTTTTGGTCTTTTCTCATTTTTCAACTTGAACAGTGCCTAATACCATGAAGTCATAGGTCAAGTTGATGACTTAGTTGTAAATTTACTTACTTAATGACCTACTTTGTGCTTTCTTGCTGATATAACGTCATAACACACACACACACACACGCACACACACACACACACATGCACACACACACACACACATACACACACACACACACACACACACAAAATTAATATACTTTTACAAGTTATTCTATATCAAATGAGAAATACAAGAAAAGAGTAGCTTATCTGGTGCACAGATGGATCTTATGAGACAACTTACTCATTCTAGTGAGAAAGAGGGAAGAAAGCACATTGTAAATCCACAGAATATAAGGAGGCAACCACTGATACTTAAAGAAAGAATCAGATAGAAAGTTCATTTTTTTATTTCTTTCATTCACTTCTGAGCATTCAGCCATTTTCACAGAAACTTATCAGATATCTTTTGAAATAAATGCATACATAATAATTTGATTTAGATTTAGCATAATTATTAACATTTTTAGCTGTTATATAGGTAAAAACTTAGGTTTTTCAAGTATAAGTTAACTTACCATATACAGTTCAATGCTGTAGAACTCAAGTTGGCACCTTTTAGGGCACAAATTTTGCAACTGGCACACACAGATGGTAGTTGACCTGGGTATTCACTCATAAAACAGATGTATTAAAAACAACACAACCAGTATTAGTTCATAACACACCTATGTGATTTGTTACGGACAACAGACTGATCAATTCCATGCCAAGTTGCATTGCTGCCAAAATTTAGGCAAAAGGAGCCCCAACTAAGTATTGAGTACTGTTCATACTCATACTTTTTATGTTCATACTTTTCAGTTGACTACAGAATTTGGGGTTCCCCTTCGGGGGGAACTTCAGCACTATAAGTGGATTTGATTGTAAAATCCACGCATTGGGAGGTTCGGTTCAGAAGCTACTTGTCTGAAAGAGTATTGAACGGGCCAATTAAGAATGAATTGGCAGCGCAAGCCTGCGCAGGTGAGCGGCATAAGCAATCAACTGAGTATATAAGCTCACCTGGCGCAGCAGACGCTATCCTTTTCGCTTCAGAGACTTTCTGATCGAGTCGATGAGGGTTCCTCCTGCTGTGACCAGCGATTCTGAGCGAACGAGAGCATTCTCCCGGTCCAGAGTGTGTACACGCAGTGGCAGACGGTCGAGCTGGGTTTCTCCCTTGCCTGGCGTTCTTTGGGTCCGGTCCTCCAGAGCGGTGCGTATAAAGTTGCAAACTTCACAGAAAGAGCAACACAGTCGTGCAGCACGTCCTTATCAGGACGGCGCTCCGACTGTGCGTTTCTGGATGCGGTGGTTTCCTGTCCTCGGATGATGGGCGCGGGCACTGTGTTACATGTCTGGGGGTCCAGCATGTTAATGCGCTGCTCGCGGGCAGTTCATGTCGTCATCGCGATGCCATGACTGTTGCGCAAGATCGCGGTTAGCCTTTGCAAAAAGGCGAACCACCCCAGTTGTCCCCTGCTCTGCAGCGGGCACTCGGGCAGATCTGAGGGTTTCAGCGAGAGATAATCCGTCGCCCACGGGCCCGCGGACCTCCCGCTCCTCTAAGCGCTCCATCCAAGCTTCGGGCGGAGGAAGCGATCCGTCTAACAGATGGTAGCCCTTACGCCCGATGACACCGGAGACCAGATGTCCACCGCGGCATCGGAGGGTGGGCTTTCATTGTCCGATGATGATCCAGACCCGCTCGCCCCCTTCGGGCTGGTGAGCGCTGTCACTACGGATCCTGAAACGGACATGTTAGCCGTGCTTTCCCGGGCTGCTTCGGCCGTGGGTTGGAGATGGTTTATCCCCCAGCTCCGCGGCCGGACCGACTAGAGGGGCGTTCCCTTCTTCCCGGAGGTGCACAGTAGGCTCACGCGGTCTTGTAAAGCACTTTTTTCTGCTCGTGCTGCGTGTTCCTCCACCCTAACCACTCTTGACGGTGAAACAGCCAGGGGGTATGTGGCGATTCCTCAGGTTGAGTGCGCGATGGCGGTAAATCCGCGCGGCGCCTCTTCTTGACGGGGTCCGCCTCGTCTCCCATCCAAAGCCTGTAAGTTATCTACCTCCCTCGGAGCTAGAGCTTACATAGCTGCGGGCCAGGCTGCTTCCGCCTTGCATGCGATAGCCACCTACCAGCGCTACCAAGCGCAGGCGCTGGCCGAGCTGCACGAGGGTGGGTCCAACCCAGGCTTACGAGCTTCGCACCGCCGCCGACTTAGCTCTTCGGACTACTGAGTCCGCTGCGTGTGCGTTGGGGAGGACGATGTCCACATTAGTGGTCCAGGAGCGCCACCCCTGGCTGATATGCGCAAAGTCGACAAAGTCCGCTTTCTTGACTTCCCCATATCCCCAGCCAGGTTCGGCGACACTGTCTGTGAATTCACCCAGGAATTCAAGGCGGTGAGAGAGCAGTTGGTGGGTGATGTCTTATCGGCGGTCCGTAGCCCGCTCCGCCCGCCGTGCCATTCATACCTGCTCCTCGCCGAAGGCGCCCGCCTACGAGAGCTGCTCCGCCCCCGCACACGCCTAAGGCGAAGCGAGCGCGTCGGGCACCTCGGAAGCAGGCAGCCCCCCTGCCCAGAACGCCGCTAAGTCCGGCAACGGACCGCGAAGCGCCCCTGGGACAGGCCATCTGGAGAAGAGGGAACTTGCTCTTTCCCCGCTGGAGGGCGGGGCCCCATTTCCAACGGCACTTTTTACTGCCATGAAAACATTATGAGAGGGCACTTTTCACTTCCCCAGATGTGACAGCCCGAAATCTGCCAGTCTGGGACGCTATGCTTTCTAGCTTGCAGATTCGGTGCGTTTCGCCAGTGGCTCACGAGCGCTGGGAGGACGGTCTCCTTTCTCCCACCCCTCGAGCCTCCCCTCCGGAGCTCGGGTTTGGAGTGAGAGCAAATATCTCACCTCCAGCTTTTCCGTGGGACCCGCGAGCTTCCCGGATCAGCACACCCACTCCGCGCTGCCCCACTGCTGGTACGTCAGCGATTGTAGCGATGAGTCCATTAGCGAGAGCTCTGCCTGCCTGGTTAGCGCGGGCCAGCTCTTCGCGGTGGCTCATACGCACAATCAGACTCGGCTATGCGATTCAGTTCGCGAAACGGCCCCCCAAGTCACGGGTGTGTATTCACCAGGGTCAGCCCCCTGTCCGCCCCTGTCTTGCGAGAGGAGATTGCTGTCCTCCTGGCGAAGGATGCAATCGAGCCGCTCCCTCCAGCCGAGATGGAGAGCGGGTTTTACAGCCCACGCTTCATCGTGCCCAAAAAGAGCGGTGGGTCACGGCCAATCCTAGATCTGCGCGTTTTGAACCGCTGCCTGCACAAGCTGCCGTTCAGAATGCTCACGCAGAAGCGCATCCTCCGGTGCGTTCGTCCTCTGGGTTGGTCTGCAGCATTAGACCTGATGGACGCGTATTTCCATGTCTCCACTCTTCCTCGCCACCGACAGTTTCTGCGGTTTGCGTTTGAAGGTCGAGCTTGGCAATACAAAGCCCTCCCCTTCGGGCTCTCTCTGTCTCCGCGGGTCCTCACCAAGCCCGCGGAGGGTGCCTCAGCGCCCCTTCGGCTCGCGGGCATCTGCATACTCAATTTCTTTACGACTGGCTGAATTGCCCTCTCTTTTGATTATGCACAGAGTTGATTATGCACAGAGACAAAGTGCTCTGGCACTTCCACCTGTGGGGGTTTCAGGTCAACCGAGAAAAGAGCAAACTCGCCCCCGTGCAGAGGATCTCTTCTCTCGGGCTGGAGCTGGACTCGGTCACCATGGCAGCGCGCCTCTCCGGAGAGCGCGCTCAGCTGATGCTGTACTGTCTGAGAGAGCTCGACAGTAAAATAGTGGTCCCACTGAAACTATTTCAGAGGCTCCTGGGGCATATGGCATCCGCAGCCGCTTCATGCCGCTCGGATTATTCTATATGAGACCACTTCAGCACTGGCTTCACGATCGAGTCCCCAGACGCGCATGGCACGCGCGCGCACACCGAGTCTCTGTTACTGCGCTGTGTCGCCGCGCCCTCAGCCCTTGGAGCGACCCCTCGTTCCTACAGGCCTGGGTGTCTCTAGAACAGGCGTCCAGTCTTGTTGTCGTTTCAGCAGACGCTTCCAACACGGGCTGGGGGGCTGTGCGTTGC